GGGTCTATTCTCTTCTTTTGAATGAATTTTATGGAAAACTTGAAGTTAATTTTTAATAACTGCAAGAGGACTGAAACAATGGACATTATCTATTATCTTCTCCAAAGTATTACGGGAGAGCTATTAAGGGTCGAACTCCATCCAATTTTGTGATGGGTTGGTCGGTTCAAACTCCTCAAGAACAAGGATCTATGTCAATGAAGCTTTTCTCGCTTTGATATATTTTTCTTCATAAAATATAATTATTCTACGTTATTACATTTAAGTCTATGTATTTTTTAAAGCTTATTTTTCAGGTTGAAATTCAATTTTCGAACCATCTCGAGTAGCTTCTTCTTCTAGATAACAAATTTACTTAGGACCAGTTCTTTAAGTAGTACATGACAAAACAATATGAATTATGCTTAGTGTGTATTCGGCTAATGGTAATTGGACAAAAATGCATTTTCTTTTGTTCCGCCCATTTATTTTCATCTCTCATTGTTCCAAGATATGTGATTTCCCTCCCCATCCTTATTATTGAAAATAGTCCAATATAATTTGTCATAGATGAAACTTTCAAAACATTCTCTGAAAAAGTTTTGATTTTTTGGATTTTTATTTTATAATTCATTTTTAATCTTCTTAGGATTCAACGTGGAGAAGCGATTTATATTATCTCAACTTAGGCATGATGTTTGTCCAAAGGCCAGACATGGAATTTGTTAACATATCAGTCAGAAAATTTATACCCATTGAAACAGTCAAATAACATTTTCTGAAAAAAAAATATTCTTTGAAACAATTATAATTGTTGTCGTCGCTTTGCGCGGGTGTACACCTAGTGTGTGTGTGTGTGTATATATATATATATATATATATATATATATATATATATATATATATATATATATATATATTCTATAGTCTAGTTTGTCACTTTGTTTTGTCTAATGAAATTGCGGTTTTTTTTTTCTTATTATATATTATCCAAAAAAAAAATTATGCTACCCCTGAACTTTGAATCTGGCTTCGTCATTGGTCACGATCCATGTATATCCCATGGACTAGATATCCTCTACCATTCCTCATATGAGTCGGGGGTCATCCCCTCTATGGTTTAGGGAATGAGATCATCCTCCTCTTATAACTTCTTGTTAGATTGTCACAATCAGTTCATTTTGTTGATATATACCCATGTGGTGTTACTTATTGTCTTACTATGATACAAGAGTCCATACAAACCTTGTGTCTTTTGAACTCATGTCCATGTCATGTGTATTTTGAACTCACGTTTATACCTTATGTCTTTTGAACTCGTTGAGTTCAGTATGACTTTAATCCACTAAGCAGGGCCGACTCTATGATTTTAAGGGTCCTGTGCTAAGAAGAAAAATGGGCCCTAAATACAATTATTTAATATATAAGGAAAACAAATTTAATACGGTGAATTATCGTTACGGAAAACTTAAAAATAAATAAATTAATTAAAAAGGAACATATAAAATTTTATAAAAAGTTCAAGGGCTAATTATGTAACTTCTGAAAACTGATTTGTTAAACATATTGGAAGGAAGGGTTGATTACGAAATATATAGAATAAAGAAATGTGTAAGTTGAATTTAAAAAAAGAGGATCCAACCTACATTGCTTTTGAATAAAAAACATGCCTTTGCCAATTGGGCTACCCAAACTCTATAAAATATTTTGAATAAATTCATATATATTTAGTTTATTGAGGGCCTCTATGATTTTATTGGGTTCCATCATGGATACAAAAATTTACATACAAGCAAAAAATACTTGATATATGATTTCTAGTTTGAACCACATAGCTCCAAATTCCCAATTACATGAGTAATATGATGATCGTTAAGAGTCTTTGATGGAAGAGGCTTGATGAACGGAAGGAGAACCATTCATGGATTCATCATCGTCATGTTGATCAACTTGGAAGGTCTAAAAAAAACCATGATCATATTTGTTAGCTTGAGTGTGAGTTGTTGAGTTAGCTTGAGGTGACGGTCATCTAAACTCATAGTTGAATAAATTTGTTGATCGACGAAGTATAACACAAAGAATTTAACTCAAAATCATACATGAGGCATCATATACGGAAAATGTTTGAACTTAATTGTTACTTGTATGATTACATATTTTTATATGGAGTATATATGACTCACGCACATGTTTTACTTTCACTACGTTGCCCATAAAGTTAATTTAAACATGGCATGCGATCCAGCACCTTACAAAATCCGAAATAACATTAGAAAATGAGTTCATCAAAATTATCGTGTTCCTTTTTACACAACAATCACAAAAACCAACATGACTCGGATTGATTTTTCTACAAAAACATAGTATCATCATCTAGTAAACAAGTTGAGGATCCAAGTCTGCAATGTCAACCGATCCTGAATCAATCGGTTTCATTAGGTATGCAGCCAACAGCTCTGAAACCAGGGCAGCAATATGTGGGATTCTCTTCAAGTTCTTCACCAATGGAATGTCATCTGTTTCCCCAATTGCAATTATCTTTGAATTGATGTCAGCCATTCTGTCCAATTTCCTCTTGAACTCAGGATTCTCTACATCCAATACAGCTGGGAATATCCTAGCTGTCGTTCGGTTCGTCTGCAGTAACACAATAAACACCACTTAATGAACTTACTTGGGACATGACTTAAACCAATACGCTATACATAAGTGACTTTTTACTCGATGTACTAAACAAATCAATCAGAGTACATTTTGCTATTTCTTGCATTTGAGTCTCAAGAGTCAAGATGACAAACCTCAATGATGACATGCATGTCAAACTCCTTGGTGTTCAGCCCAATGCCTTCATAGAAAGAGGTTCTTTGGGTATCATTAAGATACATGGTAACATACACCTACACCCATTTTTAAATTAATAAAAAAAAATTCAATAACAAAATCCTTTCTAAATAAATACTAAATAAATAGAAGCGGAGGGGTATATATACCGATAAGCAGAAGAATCGAGACCACAGCTTAGCCTTCCAGTCGTTGAGGAACTGTGGCTGCGCCTTCATGAGTGCAGAGAAGAAGTCGCCATGTCTGTTCTCATCTTGGCACCAGTTCTCAAAGTATTTGAAAATCGGGTACACTTGGTACTCAGGGTTTGTCTTTAGATGCCTGTATATTGTTATGTATCTCCAGTACCCGATCTTTTCTGACAGATATGTTGCGTAGAATATGAATTTTGGCTTGAAAAATGTGTACTTTCTTGCTTTTGTCAAGAACCCTAAGTCCAATGCCAAGTTGAAATCGGATAATCCCTTGTTCAGAAATCTGCATAAATCGTTGTTAAAATGCTGTTTCTTTGTTTTACGCAATCAAATGAGCATACATATTACATATTACATACCCGGCATGGCGTGCTTCATCCCTGGACATGAGGGAAAAGATCTCGGCGACCACTGGGTTCGTTTTCTGCAAAATGTATCGAAATATGGAAGAAAATCAGAAATAGATGAAGAATTCGAACGATTTTGAAGCTGAAAAGTCAAAATGAGTACCTTGAGTCGTCGACCAAGCTCCTTGTAGAGAAGAAACCCGGAGAACTCAGCAGTACAAGACCTCTCCAAGAACTCAACGAAGATCTGCCTCATAGGACCCTGAATTTCATCAGCAGCTTCTTTGAATTCCTTATTCCTAACGAAATGTGTCTGGTTGTAATCCGTTTTGAATTCCTGCAACAACGCTTCGAATTCTGCTTCGTTCAAGTTCTTGTTCATCTCGGTGTTGAATAGCTGCTCCATCTCGTCGAAATCAGTCGTGTAGAAGCGTGGCGCCAGCAGGGTTTCCTTGATTCCCTTCTTGTTTTTTCCACCACCGGTTCCTTTTGTGGTGGTGGGGGTGGTGGTGGTGGCTGCTGACATACGAACAATGGTGGAGATTCTCTGTGGCAGGATTGTTCTTGCGGAGGTGATGGTGGTGCTGCCGCAGTATCCGATTTTGGAGATGGGTTTGAGCAATGCCATCTCTGCTGCCATTGTTGGTTGTGGATTTCGTTGTTGGTGTCTGGATGGATAGTTGAATTTGTATATAAATTTGGGGGAGAGTGATTGCAATCTATAATCTGTAATCTCATCCAATGAAATCCAGGATCATGAATGGAAAATTGACACGTCGGTTGGAGCCGATTTTATTAGACTTTATTTGCTTCAAATATTTCTGTTATTATATTTTGCGGCTGACAAATACTTATAACTTTGTATATATGGCAACATCAATAATTTCAAACCATACATATTTTAACCAACAATTTCATTATTTATATTTTGGCCAAGGAATAACAGTATATTTTGTTATTGTTATATATATTTTTCATAATGTTCACATATTAATATTTTTAATCAATAATGACAAACTGATCTGTGATATTATTTGTAATTTCGTTTTACATATAGTTATTGTTGATGAGAAATATAAATATACTAAAATATATTACTTGTATAAAATCCATTTTTATTTCTTATAATTTCCCTCAACAAATTTATAGTACTAATTTTATTTTGTTTCTTAATAAGTTATGCTTGGTACAGATTTTTCATTGATATTGTGTATGTTTGGAAATAAGTTAGAAATGGATAATATGTCATTTGAAAATCGATTGTAACTATATGCACATATGTTTTCAATGAAAATTATTTGTTTTACAAATCATTTGATATAACATACTATCATTATCAATTAAAATATAAATACAAAATAAGATATACTAACAAATCAACAAAATCATAGTTTGTATACAACTTTTTCAACCAAAACATGCAGGAACTTGAGGGTTACTAAGAGTCAAAAACAAGACAAAATGGTTTAGACTCATAATAGAGAATATAACAAATAAATTTAAGGATCCTTTTTATACATAACTCAAACCAATAACAAATAGTATAACTTTAGAGTCCCTATCTTTACATAATAAATTTAGGTCATACCAGAAAAGTCAACAAATGATTATAGCAATTTTAGGATGAATTTGACCTAAATTTAGTGACAGGTGATACAATAACAATTCACAATTAACAATTAACAAAGCAAATAAAATAAAATAACACTCCCCGCCCCTAAGCAGATTAACTGCACATTCACAACAAAAGGTACCATGTGATATAATATAATATATACCTACTATCTTCTCAAGTCTCAACATGTTTCCGATTCCGGTTTTCTAACTGGATGTGTTGATTTCCTTTCCATTTTCATGTAAATGTCTCTTCAACCTTCGTAGCCAAATCTCATAATCCATCGGATACGGCGTTCCACAAAGACTATCAACATAATCAGCAAACGCTTTCAAAACAGCCGATATTTCCCCAAGGTTTTGCTGAATCAATCTTTTCGACCAGAATGTGTCTCTCCATTCCAACGCCCCTTCAACGGAATCCAATTCCGGTAAATCCCCACCAGACGAAAAATAAAGCAAATAAACAAGACTTTCCGCATCAGACGCCGAGCATAACTTCCCCTCTTGAAGCGCATACGTAGACGAAAAATGAAGATTCAAAGCCGGCCTATCTCTCTCCTCCAAAATCGCATGCCCCCACCCCACAAGCACAAAATACTGATTCTGCCCACCACCGGAATTCACACAGATTATGTTTTCCGGTCTGATATCGCCATGCCGGATTCCGGCCGTGGCCGCAGTAGACAAAGCCGATAAGCAATCGTGACAACATTTTATCGCCTCATCCGCCCCGAATTCCCCCGACCGGACCATTTCCTCTACTGTTTTCCCGACCGGAGACGTCACCAGAATCGGAGTCCCGCACCACGGATTGTCGCAATTCCCACCGGAATTGGAATTCTGTTTCCGGCAAGCTCCGGGATGAATGATTTTCCCGGACATTGTCAGTTGAGGTAAATACTTGCTGGATAAACCGTTTTGATTCATAACCGAAAAAACTTTAGTTTGTCTCTGAACTTGATACCATAGCTTCATATCTTCCCATGCGGGCTCCACCTGAGACGGATGTGACCCCACGTATAAAAACAAAGCCTTCCCCGGATCATCAACCGAATTAACATAATAATACGACATTTCCCCGTCACTCAAAACTTCATTAATTTTATAACTTTTTTGCCAATTTGAATCCTCCACCACCAAAACCGACCCCACTTCTAATGTAACCGATCTTCGAGGCTCAATGTTTCCGGATTCTTCCGGAACTTCTACGATCTCCGGGGACACGCTTCTTTGTTGGAGTTTGAATAAACCGTTGTTGTTTCCGTTTATTCCGATTTCGCCCATCCTTCTCTCGTTTCTTCTTGTTTGTAGACGCGAACTATGATCGGCTGCTAAATCTTCAATCGAGTTTTTGGGTGGGCCCGCGTACTGCACCATTGATTGAAATGTCGCGAAAAGTACCTGTAAAGCACCGATGTCCCCCCAATTCGCGTTCCCGAGCTTATTCCAGATTCTATCGAAAGGAGAAACAGAAACCTGTGAATGATTCTTAATCCATTCAGAAGCACATTCATACACATTGTTCACATCGAATTCCATTTTGGTCAAATCCCCTTCCAGTTTGACCACACCCCCATATTGACAATCGGCGAGTATAACAAATACCGAATTTAACCCTTTCGATCGGCGGAGACTTCTCGAGAGTAAAACACGTACACCGTAGAACAGGGCTTCACCAAGAATCGATAGGGACGGATACGTAATTTCACTTTCGTTTTCGAGGGTCCCGATCCCAGGTCTCAAAAGTGCTAACTCGAGAATATCGTGCCATTTGCCATGCGGGTGTCGGGGGTTGTTGAGCATTACTGATGTGGCACAGAGACCCGGGAGTTTTCCATTGGCGATTGCTTTTTCTGCTTGATAGAATTTTAAATTTGAGTTGTAGAGAGAGGCCACGTTTAATGGGATGGGTTCGTGTGGGTCCCAGAAGGCCTCCCATAAGCCTTTTATGCTAGCGTGTAGGAAATCTTCAATGGCAAGGAAGGCGGTGGGGTCCATGGTGGCGGGTGGTGATGATGTGTAACCACCGCCACTTGGCATGCGGATTAGCTGTTGGAAAGAAACGCCTTCTAATGCATAATCAAATTTTTGGAGATCAATTAATTCAAAAGGAACATCGAAGTCGAATGAGTTTTCGGATAAAGCTTGGAACCAGTCTTCGAGGTTGGAGGTCAAAGTTTGACTGTCGATGAATCTATGGAGGAATTCATCGCGGATTCTACCACCTGAAGAAATACTTGACTTTTTTGTCCCTGATACTACAGATTCCTGATCTGGTGACCCACCTGTATAAAGATGGTTAGATTTGCTGAGAAAAAAAATCAATGGTCAACATGCATTGGAGCATAATCTTGATTTAGGAGATGATACTTTTTTGCTAGAGTAGAACTGTTATCAGTTAGCCTCCTCCTAGTGAGTAATGGATCTGGTTTTCTATTCTATGCCTATGGAAAATGGGATATTTTGACAATTCATAGCTGTCTTAGGAACCAATACAGAAATTAAATGTGAGTTTGACTGTTGTAGCGCATCTATAAATGTCTGGTTCTTTTAGCATCACAGACATAATCAAATTCAAATGCAATTTGAGTATCTTACACAAAATAAAAGTTGGTTAGTTTTCTCTTTATCTGATTCATTGGTCCTAAATTTCCATACAATCTCCTCTTTTATCTGGCCTTGCAACATCTATTTCATGTTACAGCAACAAGCAAATCAAGAGACTAGCCCCTTTACATTACAGAGTAGGATTCAACTCTTTCTAGGCTACTTCAACATATTCCCCCTTTCAGAAAAGGAATTACAAAGCTAGTGAAACAGCAGTTTGTCTTGCAATCTTTAGGTAAAACAAATAGCAGTTTTCTTACAATTATTGGACAAAATAATGGATATCAAAACTGCAACTTTTTCTAGGGGTAACTTGACCTGTGCCACAACTAAGTCGTCAGCAATAACTTGAGGTGAAATCAGGTCAAGATCAAGATTTTGGTCTTGTGTAGTCGTGTAGATGATTAAGAACCAATTTGCGTTATATTGAACATAAGTGGGGAACTTTAGGGTAAACCTAGTTTATGGCACTTAACCTATGTGAATTCTTATTTCTTCTAATTTAGAAAAATAATGGTAATTTCTCTCCATGATCATTACAAAGAGAAAACAAACAAATAAAAATTCGATTGAAGATCTACTCAATCTATATTCAAAAAGATAGATTCTTCCAGAAATTGAAGAAAGAATACATCACATGAGACAACATTTTATTTATCTCGCATCCCCCTATATATACTGTTAACCCTTCGACACCAAAGAAACACTCAATTCCAGTTAAACGACAATAAACTATAAGCTTATGCGAACATAACATCGTCAATCAATTAAACCACCTGCGAATTCTAAGCCATCACGCCATATGTAAACAAACTAGGTCAGGTAAAATCACTCTAATGTAAATCAATTCAAGGGGGAACAGGCAATTCCGAATGAAACATAAGCAGAAGAATAATTCTAGGGACCCTAGATATGATAGGAAGTGAATCGTGAAGTCGATTGGGTGTAGATGTGTAGCAGAAGACCAAAGAAAGTGGATAATAATTTACCAGGAAATTGTTTACCTTCCATGACGAAGAAATCGAAAAATCGGTTGAACAGCTGCCAGATCCTGTGTGAAGAAAATGCATCACTTGAAGAAAGGTCTAATAAGTAGTCAAGAATCGGTCCACTATCTAGCACGCGAAGACGCACTGCTCCGCTCTAGCGACTAGCGTCTTTGTATATGAGATAAGAAATCGGGATATAACCAAAATCACCCTTTATTTAAACGGTCCTCTACTTTGATAATATGAAATTGTAGAATTTAAAGGGTGTTTAGCTAAGCTCATGAAAAATCATAAGTATTTTTCAACTTATAGTTTATAAGATGACAAGTTAGTAAGTTAAGGGTGTTTAACTTATAAATGGATAAGTTAGTAAGCTGATAAGTTAGGGGTGTTTATCTTCTTGATTTTGACTTATTATCGGTATGATATTGGTATAAACTATTTATATCCAAAGATAATTTTTAGCTTATAGCGGTATAGAAATGGTAATAAACTAAGGGGGTGTTTGGGATTATTTTTTGAACTTAAAAGTTCTTTTTGTAAAAATTCTTTTTGAGGTTAACTTTTGAGTAGACAAAGGCCAAAATTTGTTTTTAAAAAGTGTTTGGGTTGTATTTCTTGACTTTTGAGTGTAATTTAGCTTTAAAATGCTAAAAGTCACAAAAAGTCACACTTTCCTGACTTTTGAAAACCTATATTTTTCTTTTTTACAAAAGTTATTTTGAAAAGAACATTTGTATCTCCCAAACATCTTTTTGACTTTTTAGAAAAATTAAAAGTCAAAAGTCATTTCAAAAGTCATTTCAAAAGTAATTCCAAACACCCTCTAAAAATGAGCTTAAAATAAGCTTAGTCTAACACCCCTAAGGGAGGAGGGAGTCTTTCCCTCCCAACCCACTCAATCCACTGCCACATCAGCATTTCTCTCTCCTCTCTCTTCTATCTTTTTCAACCCACAACACATGAAAATCCTATCTTTCCCAACCCACTCAATCCACTCAATTTTCTATTTTAAAATAACAACAAATTAATAAAACTTATACAAAACTAATTTACATAATATTAAAAATATACAAAATAATTTAAAAACTAATTAAATAATATACAAAAATTGATTTGGTACAAGTTTTGATGCATAATGTGCAAGTGATTATTGCATGAGTTGAAAATGGTAGGATCGGGTTAGTGAAGTCGCTTATTAAGTCCTTTCAACCCAAACTTGTTAAACCGTTGAATAAGGAACGACTCCTTAGGGGTACCAGCGGTACCTCCCATAAATATTTCCAAACCCGTGCATGGTACCCTCCCCCTAATGAGAGTTGTCAAAGTAATTTTTTTTTATAAAAGTAGTTCAAATTTTTCAAAATATAAACAAAATATGTTCAAACCATAACATAATTTATACCAAAACACAATCCACACGGATTCTTTTACTTGATTTTTTTATAAAAAAAAAATGTTTGTTAGTCAATTTAACAAGTCCAAAAAAACAAAAATAAGTTGCAACCACTTTGATACCAACGAATGACCAATTTATTACGAACAAGGTGATTTCATTATTACATTCTTAACCCATTTCATGATGTCGGACGATGATATAAAATTCTATCGTGGTAAATCATTTCCACTTAAGATGTTCGATTATATTTTCGAAGATATAAAATTCACTGTGGAAGACCAAAATAGGGATTCATAATGGCCTTGTGTAATTAATGCACGTAAAGACACACTTATACTCGAGATCTAAAAAAATGAAATGGGTTACTGATATTAAAATAAAAAAGTTGCGGATTAATGGCTTGTTAATGATGATATGTACTGTCCTAAACTTTTGGAAGAGCAAAAACCGTCCTGCATTTAAATACAAGTACAAACAACCTATTTTACACAATTTCTTTACCAAACAACCTACTTTTCAGTTATTTCCAGTTCCAGACTAAAATTGGTTCCGAAGCAAAGATTGAACAAAATTTTGATCATAATCGGTTCCATACCAAATTTAACCGGTACCATACCTGAAACCAAACCGGAACCAATTCCTTTATAATGGTTAGATCTTCGGTTCTAAGGAAAGTTCATTTCCAATTTTAGATTATTTTGGTTCCGATTCTTATCTGATTAGAACCAGTTTCGAAACCGAACACATCCCTATTCCACATAGATATAGTCAACCGAAAAAACCTACAGGCGTCTATTTAAAATATCAATAGATTAGAAACTTGTATTTTGGATCTTATTTAACACAATTTGAACTTTTATTGCTAAACAAATAGTTATTCAAAAGTCAAAACTCCCATTACAATAACCCATAAGTTTTAAGTTATTGTGAATCTTTAGAAATTTTGAGTTTTGAGAGGTGGTATTATCTTTCTTTAATATAAAAATGGTTTTTATATACTTATTGTTAGTTTTTAATAAACTTATGCCTCCAAAAAAACTTAAATATAATTTAATTAAGATTAGATTTACAACCTACAATGCCATAATTATTTAACATGAAAAATATTGCAACTTGGCAAGTATTAATAACAAATATAAATAATACTATTATTTTGTTATTTGTTGTTAAATAACTAATATTTATTCCCTTAACCAAAATAGAGAGGGTGTTTGGATAGGAAAAAAAAGAGGGTTTTTATTGTTTATTGCTTATTCCCACCACAATAAGCTAAGTTTAAGTGTTTGGATATGAATCCTTAAAAATCAGCTTATTGTGGTATGGATAAGCTAAATAACTGAATTTAATAAGCATCTTCCACATTGCTTATTGCTTATTGTTTATTCCCACCGCAAATAAGCTAATAAGCAATAAGCTAATAAACTGTAATCTAATTTATCCAAACACACCCATATATTATAATTTACATATAGGCTTCTAACGTATTGTTCTCTATTGGTTTGTGGAAACCAAAATAGGTTGGAACTTGGTCCTTCGGGCTTCCCATGAATACAATACTAAACACCGCCTCTTGGTAGGTTTTAGGTTCACTTTCCACTACATAGGTGTAAAAATCATCACCAAATGATTTTTCAACTCTAGCCCTCTAACTTCTTCTAAGTTTTATCTCTTATTCCTCGGATTGAGCTTGTTCTTACTCTTGAACAGCTTCGTTGTTTGGTAAAGATGGGCTTTAAACCTCCTTGTTCAAACAAGGAAATACATCTTCAAAGAATGAAGCATTCCTTGATTCCATTATGGTATTCTTATGTATTTCAAAATTCTTAGAATCACGCACAAGAAAACGATAAACACTATTACTTTGTGCATACCCAATGAATACACAATCCACTGTTTTAGGACCTAACTTTTGTACCTTAGGCGGCGGTACAACAACTTTAGCTAGGCACCTCCACACTCGTAAGTACTTGTACGATGGCTTTCTTCTCATCCAAAGTTCATACGGTGTTTCATCCTTTTCTTTACGAGGTATCTTATTTAGAAGATAGTTAGCCAACAAAATAGCTTCCCCCTACATTGACTGGTTTACACCCGAACTAATTATCATGGCGTTAACCATTTCTTTCAAGGTACGGTTCTTTCTTTCAGCAATTCCATTGGATTGAGGTGAATAGGGTGATGTAAATTCATGATGAATTCCATTTTTCGCACAGGAATTCAGCATAAGGAGAAACATATTCTCCGCCCCTTTCACTTCTAACTACTTTTATTCTCTTGTCGAGTTGATTCTCAACTTCATTTGTGTACAAGACAAACTTGTCAATTGCTTCATCTTTACTCTTAAGTAAATATATGTAACAATATTTTGTGCTATCATCGTTGAACGTAATGAAGTATTTGTTCCCACCTTGAGTTGGAATTGACTTTAAATCACACACATCAGTGTGAATTAAATCAAGAGTTTTGGTGTTTCTTTTGATTGTTTGGAAAGATAATCGAGTCTGTTTGGCTTCAACACATATGGGAAATTTTTATTTGAGTCAATATTAAGTTTTGGTATGTAGTCTAGTTTAATTAACTGTTTAATAGAATCGTAATTTACATGTCCGAAGCAACCATGCCAAACATTTGAACACTCAAGCAAATAAGCAGACTTGAAATTGCTTTATTCATTTTGTTTGTCACCATTGCATTTACTTTGAGCATGTCATTCAAGGCATATCCTTTCCCCACAAACATACCATTCTTGGACAAAGCAAACTTGTTTGACTCAAACACAAGCTTAAAACAAAACATATTCAACAAACCACCCGACACTAGATTCTTACGACGTTCAGGAACATACAAAACATCCCTAAGTTTCACATCTTTCCCGGAAGTCATTTTTAGAATGACATCACCAACACCTTTGATATCCTGCATTTCCCATGTAGAGCTTTTCACTATCTTTAACTTCCTTGTAGGTGTTGAAAACACTCTTATCATGACACACATGATGAGTAGCCCCTATTTCAATCCACCACTCTTTTGAATTTGTATTCATGAGATTCATCTCAGTGACCATAGCCGTTAGATCAGTTATCGTGGCCACCAACTCTATGTTATCATTCACCATGTTTGCTTGACGGTTTTCCTGCTTAGGTTATGGGAACTCCGAAACCTTGTGACCTGGTTGGCCACAATTGTAGCACTTGAACTTCTTCTTGAAAGTTCCTGCCTTGGGGCCTAATTTTTTTCCCTTTGCTTTCCTTTTGTGAGGTCCCTTGCTTTTGCTATTGAAACTTTCACCAGCTTCCACCATATGAACCTTAGAAGATGATGGGTTTTGAGCATAACTACATCCTATATGTTCATGCAAACCTAATTGCTTTGGATCTAAGTTTTTCACTAGTTAAACATGCAATTGAATACCAAAGCAATAAACCCTAGATCTAGCATACAATTTCGAAAAATTACATAATGAAAGGGTTTTGATGTTTACCTTTCTTGTTATGTAGTAATAACGAGAACTCCTTTGTAGATCCTTGACTTCTGAAAGCTTAGTGCCTCAAATGTTGCACCTCTAATGGATTACAAACACCACTAGCAAAAGGATGAGAGGAGAGAGGATGGAATCACTAAGAAATTCAGTTAGGGTTTGTATCAACAAGCATTGGCCGAAGATCCTAAGTCATGGGGTCTTTATATAGCTGTGGGCTGCTAGGGTTTTCTGTAGGAAACCCTAATTTCCTGCTTAAGGCTTAATGTAACATCCCGACTCCCATGTATAAATTTTAAAGCTTTTATATTCATAAT